ATCAGGTGTGCGGGGCCCGCGGGCGGGCAGCGTCTGGCGGGCTCGGGAGCCCCCAGCGAGCATTCCTTTGTTGCCACATGTTTGTCAGGAAAATTCATTTGCTGGTCTAGGGGTGGCTTCAGTCACGTGTGGGGTGAGAGGCTGTGCCTTGCTTCTCCTTTTTCCTTTTTTTATTTTTTTTTAATTAGCTTTCTCGAAGTTGTCCGAGTGATTTTTTTTAAGCGATGAGGTTGTGCGCCCAGTAAACCTGAGAGCAGCCTCCTGAACCACCCGGGACTGCACACGTCAGGGAGTCTGGGGCCATGCATTTAAAGAAACGGAATTAAAAACGCACTCGGGCAATTGAAAGTTAACGGGCAAGGCTGATGGACAACCCAGGCCAGGGTCTTTTCATAACATTCCACTGCCCAGACATCTTGTCCTCAGATTGTTCCTGGTCGTGAGAACCGGGAGCCTTCTTGGAAGGGTTCTTGCCTAACCTTTCTTTAATTCAACTCTTGGGAAAGAGATAATGGGGGTAGCGAGCATATGGCCAGATGAAGGCTTTTCAAAACCGCTTGGATGCTTAAAGGTCATGCAGTATCTTTCGTAAGAGGGAGATGCTTCCAGCGTGGCCTGAAGATTATTCTAGGGAAGAGAGTTTCAGCCCTCACCAGGTAGCAACGGAGTTTGGAGATTTTAAGACGGATGCTGCTGCTCCAGGTTTTTTGATGGGTTAGTACCCAAAACCTTTAAGTGTCCTACATTCCAGAGTGTAAGATGGTTATGTTATTTCCCACAGTAAATTAGATGAATGTCTGAGTCATTAAACGTTACTCGTATCACATATTCCTATGCAATTTTAAGTTATTTGCCCATGTTTAGCATACTGTCTTAGATTTGAGAATGGGAAGAAACTTCAGAGCTAGCTAACTGCCTCCTGTTGTTTACCTGTAGAGAAACAGGTCTAGAGTTAAGAGCCTGGTCCAAGTTCACAACTGGCTGGGAGCAAAGCGGAGGTTGTCATGTTCAGCCTGTCTACTGCTGTTTTCAGGGCTTTTTTTTTTTTTTTTTTTTTTTTTTTGAGATGGAGTCTCGCTCTGTCTACAACCTCCACCTCCCAGGTTCAAGCGATTCTTCTGCCTTGGCCTCCTGAGTAGCTGGGACTACAGGTGCTTGCCACCCGCCCAGCTAATTTTTGTATTTTTAGTGGAGACAAAGTTTCGCCATGTAGTTGGGATTACAGGCGCCCGACACCAACGCAGACTGATTTTTGTATTTTCAGTAGTGAGGGGGTTGGTCTCTCACCATGTTGGCCAGGCTGGTCTCAAACTGCTGACCTCACGTGATTAGCCCGCCTGGGCCTCCCAAAGTGCTGGGATTACAGGCTTGAGCCATCGCACCTGGCCTCTTTTCAGGACTTCTTTTCAGTGGTCCAGAACCTCCTGCTGGTCTGTGTGTCTTATTTTGTCAGTGTGTTATTCTACCTAATTCACAAAGGTGGCCCACCTTTCTGTTTCTTTTTAGTATTCTGTTTCTTAATTGTGCAATTTTCTTATGAGTGAAGATACTTGGTAGGTGTACATGATTTCACTGAAATCTAAGGGATTTTCATCTTCCTTTGACCTTTTAACAACAACAACAATAAGGGCTGAGCCAGGCAGGGCGTGGTGGCTCATACCTGTCATCCCAGCACTTTGGGAGGCCGAAGCGGGTGGATCACTTGAGGTCAGGAATTCGAGACCAGCCTGGCCAACATGGTGAGAGACCAACCCCCTCTCTACTGAAAATACAAAAATTAGCTGGCCTGTTGGGCGCCTGTAATCCCAGCTACTCAGGAGGCTGAGGCAGGAGAATCGCTTGAATCCGGGAGGCAGAGGTTGCAGTGAGCTGAGATCGGGCCACTGCACTCCAGCCTGGGTGACAGAACGAGACTCTGTCTCAAAAAAAAAAAAAAAAAAGGGCTGAGCCATATGTCATTGTTTATCTTGGAGTCTGACAGACCTATGAGGAGTTTGATGTCTTTGGCCAGTCGGTTCCTGCTTGGTTGACATCAGCTCTTACAGAGGTGGAAGTACTCAGCCTGCATGGGATATCAAAATGTTGCTTTGGGAAATCTAGATAGAAAATATTTTACGTGGGATAGGGTGAGCTTTCTGAAAAGCTTTTAGATAATGCCATATTTAATTACTCCCCTCTTTCCTCTTAACTCTGTTCGTTTTTTTAGCTCATTACACAACACTGCACTGAACAAAACAAGAAGCCTCATTGATTCCTTGAAGTGATTTTTGGGCATTGGGCAAAACAGCTTATTCAGGCGCCTAGTACTATCCAAATTGCGATAAGTTGAAGGACTTTGTTGGGTAAAGTTGCACAACTGAAAAACAGGAGATGAAATGTACAGATTTTCTTGGGTTTGGGACTTTTTATCTTTGGTTCAGGGAACAAAGCAGAGTTTCAATGGCAAATTATTGAAATATTTGAATAATGAAGTATTTCTGTGATTTTTTTTTTTTTTTTAACTTTTACCGCTGTGGAGAGACTGTTCACTTTCATTAAAAATTACAGGGCAAATACCCAAACTCCTTCCAAGTCAAAAGGATGTTGTCCAGTTTGTTTTATTGTTAAGAAAACTATCAACTTCCTTAAGAATATTTGAATAAGAGTCAGTTGGTCGAATAAGGAAAATCAAAGTAGTAATATAAGTCGTAGTGTAATTCTTGTTATTGAGAAATACAGCCTTTTTTTCTTTTCAAATTTTTTCTTTTTTTTTTTTTGTTTGTTTTTTTGAGACAGGATCTTGCTCTGTCACCCAAACTAGAGTGCAGTGGTGCAGTCATAGCTCATGGCAGCTTCGACCTCCTGGGCTTAAGTGATCCTCCTGTCTCAGTCTCCTAAGTAGCTAGGAGTGCAGGTGCACGTCCCCACACCCAGCTAATTATTTTATTTCTTGTAGAGTTGGAGTTTCACCTCGTTGCCCAGGCTGGTCACTAGCTAACTTATTTTTTGTAGAGATGGAGTTTCACTTTGTTGCCCAAGCTGGTCACAAACTATTTTTTTTTTTTTTTTTAAATAGAAACGTCTTCAAGCACGATGTCCTTGCTTTCCGGTTTATGAAGAGTGCTGTTAAGACCTTCATGTATTGTCACTGCCTCATAATGTTTTGAATACCTATGTAATTTGTGTGTAAATACATACTTCTGCAAAAAGACCAACTTTTTTTTTTAAGAAGAATGCCAGTGACTCTTGTTGGCCTGGTCTGGATTCCTTTCAATAATGAATGAAAAGCTTTGAGGAAAGAATGTAAACATAATGAAATTTGAAAAGAGTTACATGTGGGCCTTTAAAAGTTAGGGGGAAAAATGAGGAGAAATACTCTTCATTCTCTCTTCCCCTTGTCCCAAAGCTCCTCTCCTCTTCTTCTTGAGAGAGGATTGAACTAGTGATTATAAAACTGTAAAGATTATACAACATACAGCAATGAGTGTAATCACAATTACTGGACCACCCTTCACGATCTGTTATATTAGAGAATGGAGAAGCATTCACAGAAGTTTCTCTGAATCTCTTAGTCATTCCCAAAAACCCAAACCAGAAAATACCTCATGTCATTGCATGTTATGTACAAATTGGCGTAAGGAACAGCTCTTAGTTTGTAGAGTCTTTTAAATAATAGAGAAAGCTTTCCAGCTTTTAGTTTTCAAGCTTGATTATTAGGAAGAGAATTCACTCTGTGGTTGTTTTCTACTTTGTGTTGCTTGGACAGCACAAACCTCTTACCTAGCCTTGTTTCCTTTGCAAGTAAAAAGGGACTTTGTGAGGATTGGTAGAGTTAGAACACTAAGAAATTCTGAGGCTGTAAATCAGGAACGAATCAGGTGATGGGAAACGGATGTGTTTTTCATCTATTGAGGAAGACATATTTGTTTTTTTGTATGTTACTCAAAAGATTAATATGTAGCCTCTTAATTAATGCCTATGTACATAACTTTCTCTGCACCCACTATGTATTTCCATAGATGATATTTTTGAAAGAGAATTACTGAGTTAAAGGAAATCTACCCTTTTAAGGCTGTTAATACATATTGTCAAATTATTCTCCAGAATGTTCACTGAAGCCCTGATTGTAATAACAAAGTATTAGAAACAGCCATCTGAGTAGTGGTTAACCATTGCCATTTAGATAATGGTTAAAGTATGGTATATCTTTATAAAAGATGAGATACAATGCAGTTGCTCGAAAGAATGAATGTCAGTATATATTGAGAGGGAAGACATCTGAAAAACGACTTACAGAATATGTCAGTATGTGTGTATGGTACAGTTCTATTTCTTTATAAAAACAAAAGCAAAAACAGACCTATATTTCATTGGAAAAAACTCTGCAAGTCTCCATGTGAAACTGAAAAGTAGCTCCTTTGGGAGAAGGAATGGGAGGTTGGGAGAGATGTTAATTTTTAATTTCATGTACTGATCTTTACGTTTTCTAGCAACACATTTTTCCAGTAAGGAATGCTTTTTCTATGATACAGAATATAGTCATAGTAGCTAAAACTTTCTTAGGGACCTTTCTCATTGTTCTGGGTGCTTTATTCATTTAATCCTCCTAACAAAGTCTTCGAGGTAGATACAATTATTGTCTCTGTTTTATAGATGAGAAAACTGAGGCACAAAGAGGTTAAGTACCCTGTGTGAGGGTAACAGCTGTAACTGAGAGTGGGAGCCTGGCTTCAGTCTCAGCTCCTCACCAAACTATACCAGTGTATGCCAAGTACAAATTGTCTGCCTTAAGTAGAAGTGCTTTCAGTTATGCTACAGGGTGTGGAGGCCACAGCACAGATCACTTTTACTAAGCTCTTCTAGGTATGTCTCTTTCAAGTTCCTAAAGTATATATTAGATTATGATTGCTTATGTGTTTTTAATGAAGAAAATAGGATCCAGACATTGATTTGAAAGTCCTTCAAAAAAGTAAAAACCAGGCTGGGAGCAGTGGCTCATACCTGTAAGCCCAGCACTTTGGGAGGCTGAGGTGGGAGGATTGCTGAAACCCAGGAGTTTGAGACCAACCTGGGCAATGTAGGGAGACCCCGTCTCTACAAAATAAATAAATAAATCAGTTGGGCATGGTGGCATGTGCCCTGTAGTCCCAACTACTTGGGAGACTGAGGTGGGAGGATTGCTTGGGCCCAGGAATCAAGGCTGCAGTGAGCTGTGATTTTGCCACTGTACTCCAACCTGGGTGACAATGCAAGACTGTCTCAAAAGAAAGACAAAAGTAAGGAACGGAAAACCTGATACTGTTTGTTACACCCTTTTTTCTCTTTGATCAGCTGCTTCAAGTGAACATTAATTGTATTTTAGGGAAGACTGGCTTCCACAGAGACCCATCTGGAACTCCTGGTTCCTTAGCTCTGCTTCTGTCAGAGCAGCTCTGGGTTTTGGTTTGTTACTATTGTACGCATTAGGCTTCTATACAAGAAGAACTGGTTCCATTGGTTTAAAAATAAGTTTGAAAATCCTAGAAACAGTGAGAGTCAGAAAAAAACTGTTTTTATGTACATATTATCTCCCCCACCCCCTTTCTCTCCAGTTGAAATATTTTGTAGAGTTCTAAATTTAGGGATGCTTTTGGCATATTTCTTATACACTCCAGAGGCACTCTAGATAATTTATCTTCAATGTTAGATCTCTCTCAGCTTTGCTAGTTGTATTTGTTAATCCATTTTGAGTTACCTTTAGTCTGCGTCCATTTTATGTGTGTGTAGAATGAGGCCATGGAGATGTACAGCTCTGTCGTTTGGCAGCAGAGTCCTAAGGAATTGGTGGTGATTATGGGATGGTGGTAGCCACTGGGGCTGCCTCAAACGGAAAGGAAAGAGTTCTAAGGACTTATAAATGTAAATTCTAGTGTATAACTGAGCATCTTCCGTTTACCAGCACTTGATACTACTAAATCCTCACAGCACCCCGGTGTTGTTATTATCTCTGTTTACAGGTGAGGAAGCTGAAGCTCAGGTCACAAAGGTAGACAGGAAGTGATGGGGTCAGATTCCCGGCTGCATCTGCCTTGGAGCTTTCCTTCTTGTGAGGGCGATGTTGAATTCACGCTGGAACTGGTGTAGCCATCGCCACATTTAGAGTGCATTTTAGAGTTTGAGCCAGTTTTGATGATTTTACTTCAACTTACTGACGGAACTCCCTGTTCATCCCTGGAACTCTCGAACACTTCTGCTGGGAGTTTAGAGGGATGACCACACCAAGCCGCTTGGTTACATTTTCTAAAACAAAATTTATTGTAAGAAATGGAAATTATGAACAAAATATACGACTATCTCTTTTTACTGTGAAGTTAGTTTATTGGCTACTGTTAACTATTTATTTATTTATTTACTTACTATTCTTTTGTAGAGACAGGGTCTTACCTTATTGCTCAGGCTAGTGTCAAACTCCTGGACTCAAGCAATCCTGGTGCCTCAGCCTTCCAAAGTGCTGGGATTACATGTGTGAGCCACTGTACCAGGCTTCAACTCTTATTAAAATTAAAGCACCTTAATATGTTCAGCAAACTCATTGGACCAATAAATATTTTTAAGACCTATGCAGAATTACCAGTGGTACATCCCCTTTTTCTGTGGCTCCACCCCTTCAACTTTGTGTCCAAGAAAACTTTTCGTGTTTGCCTGTAGCTGATGTGCAGTTGTTTCTGCCCCCAAATCAACAGGGTTTAATGAAAACCCTAGAAAGTAGAAACTTGTGGGAGAGAAGAGAAAAAAGACAAGTTCACAAGGTATGTTTAGTGTATAAAAAAGGAGAAAGACTAGAAAGCGTGAGATATAAAGGAAATGAAGAAACTAATCAGTGAGATAGAGCTAAAGCTTTTTTCTGAATTTTTAGCGTTATCACCTGATTTAGTTAACCAGCCGCATTAATTTTATGCTCCTGATTTGTGTACAAATTGAAATTTTTGCTATTGGATTTAGGTTCCCTCTCTAGGAGTTTCTCAGTTGTTTGCACTGAGTAGGACATAGTTGCTAACTTACTTAGATGACCTTTTATGAAATTTGTAAGTGATGTATTTATTTCATTTCTGGAGCAGATACAGCTGAGTAGCTTAGGTAGACTATGAAGAAAGTGTGTGTGTATGTATACACCAACTAAAATATGAAAGGTAAGTAGCCTAAAAGTAGCAATTTTTTTTTTTGAAAAGCAACCTCAGAGTTTTCGGTAAAGTGTTATCATAAATTAAACTTTACCCAGAGAGAATATTGACTGGAAAACACATTTTCTGAGATGTTTTAGAGTTTGAGCTGCTTCTCAGTTGATGGCATGAGCTGTTTCAGGAACAGAACTATATAGATCTTTAGACTTTTATTCTTACTTATTTTCTTCAGAATACTTTTGCCTTTGGTTTGAGGAGAGTCAGAATTCTTATCTGGATTCACCATGTTCACATCTGTGTGCACATGACAGATTTCAGTTCTGCTGTGGTTAACTTATCTGACTTGTCCAACAGGTTCCTGGGTGGAGCTCCCCATGAGCAGCAGCAATGGCAATGATAATGGCAATGGGAAAAACGGGGGGCTGGAACACGTACCGTCCTCATCCTCCATCCACAATGGAGACATGGAGAAGATTCTATTGGATGCACAACATGAATCAGGACAGAGTAGTTCAAGAGGCAGTTCTCACTGTGACAGGTAAGTGAGACGCACGTTTTGGTGGAATTCAGGAAACGAATGGGTTATAGGGCTCATTCTCTCTAGGAAAAATGTATTTGCCTAAATCTTCACTTAGCAAAATATGCCTTCTGATACATTGCAGTATAATATATATTGCACAGATATATATTGTGTTTATATGAGACAGCTAATTGACAGGTGTTTCAGTGCCCACTGTTTTTCCCCAGATTGTCATTTTTCTTACCCAGATTATATTGTTTTTAGCAGTTTATCAGTTTAAAAATTCAGTGGCGTAAATGCTAATTTATAGAATTAATATAATTTTCCCCCATTTTCCTTTGTATCCCTGTTTTACAGATCGTAGACTGCCTTGAATTAGTTACCTCTGTATATATCTGTCTTCTCTTCTAGATCTTGACGTTTCAAAGGGCAATAGCCATGTTTCATTTTTATTAGCTTCACAGTAATGGTGCTGGCACATAGTAGACACTCAGTAAATGTTTGACTCATAGGACCTGCAGGTTGTTGCACGTTATAGCAATATTTGCACAGTTGGAAGCACCGACCAAGGTCTGTGAAGATAGTTTTGAAGGCTCTTCTGCTTTCTCAGAGGATGTTTTGTTTCAGACCTCATTTTTCTGTGTTTGACCTGAAGAAACTAATTCCATGGATTAAGGACTGCTTATGGTGAAAGAGTAAGAATACAACGAGATATGTGTGTGAAATGAAACCAGGTCATTATTTTTTAGTACAAACTTTTCTGTTTTTTTCCAAAAGGGCTAGATATTAAATGACATTTAAAAAATTCTTGTTTCAGTGACAGCTACACTGTTAGCGTTATGGGTCACTGGATGACCTTCGGGGTAGTTGTTAACTGATGTTAACCATTTGGAAAATGCAAACGCACAGGAAGCAGATTAAGGAAATGTAAACAGTGACTATCTTTAGGAATGCAGTATGGATATTTTTCTTCTTAACATTTTTGTATTTTCTAAAAATTGTGTATATTGCACATATTATTACTTATCAGAAGAAGTGAAAAAAAGGAGAAATGAGTTAAATCATGTCCAGCTTCCTGAGTGGCTTATGATCCACTCATGTTGCCAAGGCAGCGGGGGGACTGGCTTGTTGGCTCTGTGGCACACTGTGCACCCCCGCCACCCCCGTGTCATCCCTTACTTGTCCCTGTGTTTCTTAGAGCCTGGGATGGCTCTTGTCATAAGCGGAACCAGAACAGATGGCTCTATTCTGAACAGCTTGCCCTTGATTCTAGTAGCTACAGCATTAGTCTGCCTTTCCGAATGAAGATTTGTATTTATATTATGGAACTCGCTGATGGGTTTCTCAAGTTTTCTGCTTGTTATGGCCTGTCAACAAGGCTTTCACTCTAAGTTCAAGTTTGTGGGCCTTGATCATTGATACCACGGTGCCCATGAGCCTGTTGTTCACATGGTGCTGTCAATGAGCAGAGAAAAGTCACCTGCTTACCTGTCTGTTCATCTTATTTCATTTATGGTACAGTTTTACATGTGACTGAATATGCCTTCACCCTCCCATGATCATGTTTCAGTTTAGGTTGTGAGAAGGAGGCATGGCAAGTGCTTTTGAACACTTTCCTACCCCTCATCTTATGTATCTCCAGGCCCTAGATTAGTGATCATCTTTCAGAGAATGCCTAGAACCTGAGTGTGCAACAGTACTCTTCTGGGATATCCGACTAACACGCTTTACCATTAAGGAGTGTCTTCAAAACTCACGTCATTTGAATTGCCATGCGTCTCTGTATTTGAAAAGTCACCGGGAAGTGTTTTTTGTAGGGGGAAGAGTTTTGGGGTTGTTGGGTATCAGTCCTAGAGCTGATTTATGTATATTTTCAACTTAAAAATTATTGCATAGAAATATTTACGTCGCTGCAAAGATTGTTAGCTGGGAACCCCAGCGTGTTCTGCGTTGCCTTCCATCCTGTCACAGGGTTTTCACCTTGACGGCACACTAGATTCACCCAGGAGCTTTGAAAAATGCCAGCACACGGACTGCATCGCAAGAACTTCTCATTTTGGTTGACAGGGGGAGGGTAGAGACATCACAATATTTTAAAAGCTCCCTAGCCGATTCTAATATATGCCATGGGTGAAGCTCTAATGCATTCCAAATTGTTAGGAGGAAATAAACAGTTTAGAGAAGAGGTTGGTGCCAGTGTGAAGAAGCATATAGAAGCAGAGCGACGCTTCCATAGGATTCTTGACTTTGTCACCCTGACTGCCTTGACCTGGTCAAGGCTGTGTAAGTCTGACCCTTAACCGGATGTGTAGCTGTGAACCCAACAGTGTTATGAGTACAAAGATAGTAAACTGAGGCCACCAGGAGTGCCCAGTTCTGGTTGACTCCTGTGCTAGTTCAAGACAAAAATTTCCTAAATATATATGACGTTTGTTTGATACAGAACCAGCTTTTCTCTTTTCCTGTCCCCATTTAAGAATCTTCTATGTCAGTTATACCAGTCTAAAAGACTCCTAGGCCTCATCTGTCTGATAAATTTCTGACGATCTTATTTCTGAGTCAGTCTCACCAACATTTCTGTACATTAATTAACATTGTATACATACTCTTGATAACTTTTAAAGTTAATATCTATTCCTTTCAGCAAGTTAAGCCTCAAATATTTTTTATTTTCTATTTTAGATTTTGGGGGAGGGTTTGTGTATGTAGTGAAGGATCCCCAGTGACTTTCAGTTTTTACACAAGGAATCATTGATAAAGCTGAGAAATTAACTTAACACATTCTGTTCATCTCTTGCATCAAGTGCAGTTTGTGACCATGTTGTTTTTGTCTAAAAACTTACTTGTAAATTTTTACAGTTCTAAGAATGTATTTTGTGCAATTATAAAGGTTTTATATTAATATATAAGCTTATATAATTCACTCTGAAATATCTCAAAGCAAATATTTCTGAAATAAGTAAAATAGTAGTTCTCAAAGTTTTCAGTCATTATATACCTTTACATTCCTAAAAATCATTAGGGACCCCAAAGGACTTGTTTGTGGGTTCATATATTTTGATATTTACTATATTAGAAATTAAAGCTGAGAAAATACATATTCAAAAATAATACATTTTAACATAAGTAACTTTTTTTAGTGAAAGTACCTATTTTCTATAAACCCTCCAAGTTAAGAAGAATAGTGGCATTGTTTTACACGTTTACAAATCTCTAACACCTAGCTTAATACAAAACAGCTGGTTCTCATCCACGCTTGCATTCTAACTGTTGTACTATCACACATCACGTAGCCTTCAGAAAACTCCACTATACACATGGGAGAATGAGAATGAAAAAGGCAAATAAATCCTACTAGTATTAAGAAAGGAACTTTAACCTCAAAGACTGTCTGAAAGCATCTTTGAAAACTACCTTATACACTTTGAGAACTACTGGTGAATTAGTTAATGATGAGGGAACTTTGAGAAAAAGAACTCTGAACTAAAGTTCCTGAATTTGAAGATTTTTTTACCTTTAATGGACAAAAGAGTAAATATAAGAAAATGTGACAGTTTGTGTCTGTAGGTAGTATTTCCTTTGCAAATTTATCATTTTGAAGGAATTTATTACTACTGAAAAAGTACAGAACATTTTGGGAGTAAGAATGCTCAATTTCATTTAGCCATTTAATATCACATACATTTTTCTTGTATGGGGTTATGATATATTTTCTGATTTGCTTTTTCAAAGCCATACTGCTGTAACTTCTAATTTTCTAATTTCTAGTAGAGACTAAGTCATTTGACAAAGTGAGAATTAAAACTGATAGCTAAATTCCTTCTCTTCTAGCCCTTCGCCACAAGAAGATGGGCAGATCATGTTTGATGTGGAAATGCACACAAGCAGGGACCATAGCTCTCAGGTGTGTGGGGGGGATTCTGATTTATAGTAAACAAGAAAGATGGAAATTCTGTAACTATATTTTGCTAAAATAAAGAACATGAAGACTTTTAGGAATAGTTTGAAGCTATTACTGAATTTCTGATTTTGGAATTTATTTAGGACGGTATAGTTCATGTTGCACTCCTTTACAATTAAGGATTTGGGGCCCTGTCTCTCTAAAAGAATTGGAAAATTATTGCCCATAATGAATCATGCCAATACTCCAGGCTAGTTTCTTGAGTTTGTAAGTAGAAAAAACTGAGATAGATGCTTTAAGACCACAGAATAAATGAAGATGAAGAACTAGACATGAAGACTTTTTTTTTTTTTTTTTTGCATCTGAAATCAAAGCAGTGACTTTTGAGATAAATTTCAGGAGGTAGACATAAAATTTATCTAAATTATGCAGGATTCCTTGAAGATAAATATTGTTTACTAGGAGTTGACAATGTTGGAAACAGGGATATAGTATTAAAATCTTACAAATGTTTGTGTTATAAAACTTAAAATATGGTAAGTATATAATTGTTGCTAATGATTTAGAATACTTGTAGCCAGCCTTTAACTTTATTGATATGTAAGATCACCTGAAAGTGTCGTTAGAGTACAAATTCTTGAGGATGGGAACCATTTTCTTTTTCTCCTGTATTTAGGGTGCTTGAAAAATATTGAATGAACCTTTGAATGAGTTGCAACTAAAACCTGGTTTTGTAGGGTTTTCAATATGCTGTGTCCTGAGCACTAGAAATATTTTGTGTATCTTAGACCCACCCAGTATTCTTTCTGTTTCCGAAGGCCACAGCGTTCCTCCATACTTTACTATGCTCTATTTTTGCTTTTCTCTGAAATGTTGAAAATCTATGGATTCTGCACAAATTTATTTTATGATGATGAGCTTTATACTGTAGAGAAGCTCACAATAGCAGGCTATCATGTAGTAAGATGATCTGACTGGAGCATTTGAGTTGCTGGCTTATGTATGTCAGTTTGGCCACATGCAGTAAGTGATAGCTGATGTAGAAGAAAGCATACAAAGTCTCCATAGCAGAAAGCGTACCAAGGAATCCAAGAGAGAAATCAAATTCTTTGCTGTGGTCTTTCCTGAGGAGGATTTCTTCAATCTATATCACCTTTTATACAGAAAGCTTAAAGTTTAGATTAGCATTTCCCAAAATGTGTTTTCAAGAATGTTTGTTCAAAGGGAATTTCCATAAGATAGTCCTGAAGTCAAATAAATGGAAAGTAATGCAGCCCCAGGCTCCCCCACACTCTCGCCCTAGTAGTCGCATGAGTAATTCTGACCAGTTCCTGCAGTAAAGAAATGATTATAGTTTAAGCTGGACATGGTGGCACTCACCCGAGTCTCAGCTACTTGGGAGGTGGAGGCGGGAGGATCCCTTGAGCCCCAGGAGTTTTGAGTCCAGCCTGGGCAACGTAGCAAGACTCTGTCTCTTAAAAAAAAAAAAAAAAAAAAGAAAATGAGTTTAATTAAACCAAATGTTTCCCAAGCTTATTTGACCTTAGACTTTCTTCCTCTTCTCTGCATACATTTTTCCCTTAAGAACTTAATAACTCCATGGAGCACTTTGGTAAGTGCTTTCCTGGCTCACAGAGTTGCAGATGTGCAATTAGGCTTAACTGAATATTGAATTTACACGGAATTCTAGAGCCGAATGCATCTCTCCTGGAATTCCAAAGGAATTCTTGAAATTCAGGAAAGAAAATGTCAGATTTTTGGCCTTTGGTAGGTTTGCCAGTGTTGATCCCTTTGCAGGACCAATTCCCTAAGAGAGCATAGGCTGTCATCAAGAGGAGGTACTTTATGTTGACAATCAGATCGGTCAGTTTCAACCAAGGGAAGAGTTTAGAAAGACAGTAACTCCTACGAGAGATATTTTAACAGTTGAGTAAGACTCAATAAGGGAGCTGTCAGTAGGTATAGTTTAAACTTTCAAAAACCTTTTACATTGCCTTTTTTTTTAATGGAAGAAACAATAATTTAAAAATTAATTTATTTAGGATTTGGGAACATTGATTTTCTTCCTGAATAAGAAGAAAGTTGAGGGTTAAGAAACTTAAAAAAACAGGTTAAGGACTGTTATTATACTTCATCTTATAGAATATTTTTATATGTGTTTATAAGGACTATATATCATTTTCAAGCTTTTCTAAGATGAAGGAAAGTCACTAGCATTAACTAGATATGTTCTAGTTGCTCAATTTCTCTCTTTCTTTTTTTTTTTTTTTTGAGACAGTGTCTCAGGGTCTTGCTTTGTCACCCAGGCTGGAGTGCGGTGGTGCAGTTATAGCTCACCACAGACTCCGATTCCTGGCTCAAGCAATCTCTCTGCCTCAGCCTCCCTAGTAGCTGGGACTACAGGAACACACTGCCATACCTGGCTAATTTTCTATTTTGTTTGTATAGACAGAGTCTCGCTATATTGCCCAGGCCGGTTTCAAACTCCTGGCCTCAAATGATCCTCCCACGTCGGCCTCCCAAAGTGCTGGAATTACAGACATGAGTTACTACTCCCACCTCTCTTTTAATGTTCTCAATCCAGTGAAAGCAGTGATATTATCCCCATGGACAAATGGAAAAAGTGAGGCTTTGTACTAATTACTTATCTAAGATCACAAAGCAAGTCAGTGTTAGAGCCAGGATTCAAAGCAGGTCTCAGTCTGTGGCCCTTGTTCTTTCTACTGAACTAAGTAAATGAATTCGATTAACAGGAGAGCTCACAAAGCCACGAGAATGAACTGAAAAATGTCTGCTGAGTTATGGTGTGGGGAATTTCCGCCTAAGGCAGTGTGCACTTAGGAAAAAGACCATGAAACTGCTTTTGGGATGATCATCCTCAAGAGTCTCAGTTTTGTATCAGAAAACAGACCACAGATTGTTTTTTCACTTGATCTTAGCCAAAAGTCCGAGAAGCAATATAGATTATTTATTGAAGACATTTTTGCGTTGTTTCTGGGACCAAAAAATGCCAGCACAGTGTTGAGTGTTACTGAAAAATGATCCAAACGGAAAGTGTCCTCCTTTTTCTCTCTTGTGAAACTGTGATTTTTATCTGTACGTGAATCATGGTATACAGCTTAATATCCATATTTAGAGGACAGAGTGACCTTGAGGTGGACCAGAGAAGGAAAACGTAAGTGATTAGAAAATAAAGAACTCCATGTGAGAGAACAGGCTAGAATGATCAGAATCTTCTTTGTTTTTGTTTCTTGTTTTTGAGACGGACCTCACTCTGTCACCCAGGCTGGAGTGCAGTGGCTTTGGCTCACTGCAGCCTCTTGTTTCCAGGCAGTTCTACTGCCTTAGCCGCCCAAGAAGCTGGGATTACAGGTGTGCACTACAACGTCCGGCTAATTTTTGTATTCTTAGTAGAAACGGGGTTTTGCCCCGTTGTCCAGGCTCGTCTCAAACTCCTGGCCTCAAGTGATCCATCCGCCTCAGCCTCCCTAAGTGTTGGGATTACAGGCAGGAGCCACAGTACCCGGCCAGAATCTTCTTTGAATAGATGTAGGTATAGAGAGAGGATTATTGATTTTAAGAGCACAAATCTTACATAATTAGATTAAGTACATTTTTACCATATTCTGGAATTCTAAGAATTGGAAGGCAGTTTAAAACCTGAAAGTGGCAAATTTAAGACTAATAAAAGGAAGCACAGAGCGGTAGTAAATGGGGAAAGCTTACCACTCTTAAAGTGTTAGAATAAGTTGAGAAACTTATCTGGAGTTCTTTTTTGTTTTGTTTTCTTTTTAAAACACTTGTCCAGAGATAACTTTGCTTCACTCAACTGAGAAAATTCCATCCTCTTGAAAACAAAAATTAGAGCGTAAAATCTTACTGCGTTTTCATTCTGTCAGGAATTATGAAATACTAACTTGTTAAATCTTTGAGCAGGTTTAAAGAGAGACCTGTGAGGCCAAAGCAGGAAACTAAACAGAAACCACCTGCAGTATGTTGAGTGTAGTCAGATATTGTGTGCACAGCAACTGATCTGCAAGTAAATTGTAACCGTTTATTGTTTTTGATTTGGGATGATTTCAGTGTTACTCCAAAGAGCCAACTCATGATTCTGAGTAATCTCAATAGCCAATGGAAAGAGCTTAATCCTAAATGCTACATTGTGTCATTCAGCGGAATTTGCCAAGTTCAGCAGAACTAGATAAGAATGGTACTAACAAGAGCAGTAGACAACGCACAGGGGTTTGACTTTGCCCCGTCTGAAGCTCCTGTCCTGGGGTAGCTATTTCACAGAGAACTAGACCTGTCAAAAAAGAGTCATGTGAATATGTCAGACTCTGCATTTCTTAGCTACCTACTGAAAAGAATGACAGCTTTGGTCAAAGAGTGAATCCTAGTCAAACAAAATAAAATGTCAAAATACTTCTTAGTTTTGAGGCCCTTGGGTTTGGGGACATTCCTTAAAACTGAATATGGCCAGGCGCAGTGGCTCACGCCTGTAATCCCAGCACTTTGGGAGGCCGAGGTGCGTGTATCACTTGAGGTCAGGAGTTCGAGACCAGCCTGGCCAACATGGTGAACCCCTATCTCTACAAACAATATAAAAATTTGCCAGGTGTGGTGCCAGGTGCCTGTAATCCCAGCTACTCTGGAAGCTGAGGCAGGAGAATTGCAAGAACCCAGGAGGCGGAGGTTGCAGTGAGCCAAGCTCGCGCCACTGCACTCCAGCCTGGGCGACAGAGCAAGACTCCGTCTCAAAAAGAAAACTGAATAAATAATACTGAATCAATAAAACTGAATAAATAAATATTTTTAGGACTTTTTCCCTCCTTTTGGTTCTGTTAAAAGGGGAGCTATTGGAAATGTTAATTGTTCTTGGTCTGAAACTTTAGATTATCATTACCAATTTTTTAAAATCACATTTTTTATTTTATGTGATATGACAGATGTTAAATTCTGACTCAACTTATTATGAATTATTCCAAAAAACTTTTGACTAACATAGTTTCGAAACCTTGGAAAATGTTTGCATAGCAATTTGTTCTAAAAATATAATCTCCTTCCGGAGCGTCAACCCTGGTGCTTAACAGTAGGACCTCTCTATACAGTGTTCTTGGGTTTGAATACTGGCCCTGCTATGTACTGGTTGTGGAACTTTGGGCAAATTATTTAATCTATGTCTCAGTCTCTTCATCTGTAAAATGGGATTTTAATAATTCCTATTTTTATAGGGTTGTTTTTTGCAAGGTGAAAGTTAATGCATGTGGCTGGGTGCAGAGTGTCTCACACCTGTAATCCTAGCACTTGGGGAGGCTGAGGCGGGGGAGATCCCTTGGGCCTGGGAGTTCAAGACCAGGCTGGGCAACATAGTGAAACACTGTCTCTTTAAAAAATACAAAAATTAGCTGGGCGTGGTGGCACAGACCTATAGTCCCAGCTACTTGGGAGGCTAAGGTAGAATTAATTGAGCCCAGGAGTTCAAGGTTGCAGTAAGCTATGATTGCACTCTGGCCTGGGTGACACAGCAGACCCTGTCTCCAGGAAAAAAAAAAAAGTTAATGCATGTAACATGCTTGGAATAATATTTGCCCCTTTAAGTGCTCAGTAAATACTATTATTTATTTCCTCTTCATATCTCTCACTTACTTTTGTTTTACTTCTCATCATTTTATTTTTAGCATGTCCTTTTATTTCCTTTTATTTTTTTAATTATGAATTTTTTTTTGAGACAGAATCTCACCCTGTTGCCCAGGCTAGAGTGTAGTGGCTGGATCTCAGCTCACTGCAACCTCCACCTCCAAAACTCAAGTGATTCTTCTGCCTCAGCCTCCCAAGTAGCTGGGATTACAGGCACCCGCCACCATGCCCAGCTAATTTTTTTTTGTTTTGTATTTTTTTAGTAAAGACGGGGTTTTACCATGTTGGCCAGGCTGATCTCCAGCTTCTGACCTCAAGTGATTCACCCGCCTCAGCCTCCCAAAGTGCTGGGATTACAGGCACGAGCCACCACACCCGGCCTAATTACAAAAATTTTAAGTGCATACAAAAGAGAATAATATAATGGACCTCCTTACAAGTATCGCCCAGATTTAACTCTTATCAAGGTTTTTCATACTTCAGTTAGCATTACATCCCAAAATACAGTCTTTTTCCAGTTCCTGTGCTGTGCTTAGATATCTCAACAGTAAAGCTTACTCAGGTTGTTCTGAAGATATTACATACTCTGATCTTAGATTATTTTTCAGCATTTTTTAGAAAAACAGCTTGTTTCTTATCTAAAATTGCTGAGACGCAACCTTATGAGTTTGGTATATTTCCTGTCCAGACTTGTCTTTGTATTAGGAGGAATTGGTCTTCCTTTTTTTCTTAAAGTTTGAATTATTCTTTACAGTCAGAAGAAGAAGTTGTAGAAGGAGAGAAGGAAGTTGAGGCTTTGAAGAAAAGTGCGGACTGGGTGTCAGACTGGTCCAGTAGACCCGAAAACATTCCACCCAAGTGAGTTTTCACGTTTCTTGTCAGTGGACACAGTTGATCTGCACCCACTTATAGGCAATGGTTGGTAATCCCCACGGTATTTTCAGCAAATGACATCTGCCTCTGAATTTCTTTCTCAGGGAGTTCCACTTCAGACACCCTAAACGTTCTGTGTCTTTAAGCATGAGGAAAAGTGGAGCCATGAAGAAAGGGGGTATTTTCTCCGCAGAATTTCTGAAGGTCTTCATTCCATCTCTCTTCCTTTCTCATGTTTTGGCTTTGGGACTAGGGTAAGTACTGGTCAACTCTTGAAGTTTTTTCCATTCATTTTATCCTGTTTTATTTTCAGATTGAAGAAATGTATGTGAAAGCAGTTTTTACTGCTTTACTTTTAATGTTTCAATGCAAATAAGGCTAACTTAAGAATGATTAAAGTGGGTACACAATTGTTCTACAAATAAGCATTTTTAATAATAGTAGAGGTTTTTTTTCTTACTTGAAAATAAGATGTTTGGCCTGGCGTGGTGGCTAATGCCTGTAATCCCAGCACTTTGAGAGGCCAAGATGGGTAGATGACCTGAGGCCAGAAGTTCGAGGCCAGCCCGACCAACATGTTGAAACCCGGTCTCTACTAAAAATACAAAAATTAGCTGGCCATGGTCATGCACATCTGTAGTCCCAGCTACTTGGGAGGCTGAGGCAGGAGAATCGCTTGAACATGGGAGGCAGAAGTTGCAGTGAGCAGAGATCATGCCACTGCACTCCAGCCTGGTGGATAGAACAAGACTCCATCTCGAAAAAAAAAGAAAAGATGTTCATATTAATCCCCTAAATGATCATTTTTAACTGGACTCTTCTGTGGTTGATTTTTCTTTTTGGGTTTTGTTGTTTAATATTTAATCTTGAGTAATTTATGAACTAAACTAATCTTTAACATGTATATTTTGTGGTCAGTGCAAAGACTTTTTTTCATATGGGAAAATACATGATTACATTGAATGGTTTTTTTAAATGAAACTGGTAGGTTGATTGGTGCTCATTTTTTCCTTTTTTAACTTGGTAGTATTTTCATTTATTTTGCTAAAATCGACCTCATATTTACGTATGATTCATTAGTTTTTCAGCCACATCTTTTAAATAAATTGCTTTTTTTCCTTGATTTAAACAATTAAGGAATTACACTTCTGAAAGGTTTTGGAGTTAAACAGTAGCTGTTAATTTTTTTCAAGACATATGTTGTGCTGTAAGCATGCCCAGTGGGTCGTTTTCATATAAGATATGCAGAAGGTGGGTCATCATTTTCTTCCCTTTAAGGAGCTCAGCATATTGGAGAGAGATTCTCAATCACGAGCTCAGAAACTTGCATACAGCTTTCTACACGCCCCTCTTGTCTCTCTTGGGTGCTTGATCTGCTTTTGTGAGGGCGAGGACAGTAATCACAAACAGCAACCTAGAAGAAGTTTGTGCAGAAGGGCAGCGTGTGACCGTTGCATGGGGGTTGATGTGGGACAGGTATAGGAGTTTAATACGTTGCTACCTATACAGCAGTTCATTGCCCTTAAGCGGTTGCTTTCTGTACCTTGCCGTCTCTCTTTCAGTCATCTTCAGATTGTTTGTCTTGGCTGTAAGTATAACTATTGCTATAGATAAATGTAAAAAGAGGGTTTAAAAAGTTGGTTGCTTTAGTTGCACTGGAGGTGAAGCTTGTTACATATTTTCCTTAACTTCCCTTCTGCTTTTGCTGTTGAAGAGGCCAAATACTTGGTTGGCCTGAAAAAGTATTGTAAGGCCCCTAATCCTTAAGAGTTATTAGTAAGAGCTGTCTTTAAAGCACTGACAGCTTTTAAGGGTTTTTTTTTTTTTTTTTTGTCCTACATAGAGCACCAAAATAATTTCACATATTACTATATTTTTGTGTCAGTAGAACCTTCTGTCCACCAAAGAGGAACATATTGAAGGAGTTGGGCTGCTTTATTTACTCTGTGGAGGGATCTGTTCTCTCTGGCTTTACTTTGTCTAATCACTACCCCTTTGCTGTGGAGCCCCAATTTAAAGAGTAAACAGAATCATATAAAACCAGTTTGGCTGGGCTGGTGACTGGTTTTAAGAAAGTCAGCGATGATTTCATGGTGTTTGGGGAGCGGTGCCCACAAATTTTTAGAGCCTTTTACAAAGACTGAAGAGTTTTAAGTAGAGTTCAGACTATGGACAGGCTGGTATAGAACTGTTGAAACAGGTGAAACATGATACCTCTGCTTCCTTTCAGCATCTATATTGGAAAGCGACTGAGCACACCCTCTGCCAGCACCTACTGAGGGAAAGGAAAAGCCCCTGGAAATGCGTGTGACCTGTGAAGTGGTGTATTGTCACAGTAGCTTATTTGAACTTGAGACCATTGTAAGCATGACCCAACCTACCACCCTGTTTTTACATATCCAATTCCAGTAACTCTCAAATCCAGTATTTTATTCAAACTCTGTTGAGGCATTTTACTAACCTTATACCCTTTTTGGCCTGTAAGACATTTTAGAATTTCCTAACAGAGTTTACTGTTGTTTAGAAATTTGCAAGGGCTTCTTTTCCGCAAATGCCACCAGCAGATTATAATTTTGTCAACAAGGCTATTATCTCTAATTAGTACCACCAGAGTAGACCTGTATCATTCATGGTATAAATTTTACTCTTGCAACATAACTACCATCTCTCTCTTAAAACGAGATCAGGTTAGCAAATGATGTAAAAGAAGCTTATTGTCTAGTTGTTTTTTTCCCCAAGACAAAGGCAAGCTTTCCTAAGTTTGAGTTGATAGTTATTAAAAAGAAAAAAAAAAAAAAAGCAAGACATAAGAAAAAAATATCCTGGGCAATAAAAAAATTATTTTAAACCAGCTTTGGAGCCACTTTTTTGTCTAAGCCTCCTAATAGCGCCTTTTAATTTATAGGAGGCAAGCTGTATAATGATAGGTATGAAATAGGATAAGAACTGAAATACATCAGCAGATTTTCATACTAGTCTGTTGTAATGCTGTCTTTTCTATGGTGTAGAATCTTTCTTTCTGATAAGGAACGTCTCAGGCCTAGAAATATATGAAATTGCTTTTCGAGATTTTTGTGTGTGTGTTTGATATTTTTTATGTTAATTAGCTGCATGTGAATTTTTCATGACTTTAAATTTTTTATTTTTTATTCCTTTTTTTTTTTCTCTAAGAAGAGGCTTTGGAATGAATTCCAATTTGTGATGTTAATACAGGCTTCTTGTTTTAGGAAGCATCACCTATACTCTGAAGCCTTTAAACTCTGAAGAGAATTGTTTCAGAGTTATTCCAAGCAGTTGTGCATCTTGGAAAAACAGACTTGGGTTGTGGGAACAGTTGACAGCGTTCTGAAAAGATGCCATTTGTTTCCTTCTGATCTCTCACTGATTAATGTTTACTGTACAGTCTTCCCAAGGTGATTCCTGCGACTGCAGGCACTGGTCATTTTCTCATGTAGCCGTCTTTTCAGTTATGGTAAAACTCTTGAAGTTCAGAACACTCAACAGATTCCTTCAATGATATACTTGTTCGTTCATTTCTAAAATGTGAAGCTTTAGGACCAAATTGTTAGAAAGCATCAGGATGACCAGTTATCTCTAGTAGATTTTCTTGGATTTCAGAACATCTAGTATGACTCTGAAGGATACCACATGTTTTATATATAAATAATTACTGTTTATGATATAGAGATTGATATTGACTATTTAGAGAACCATTGTTAATTTTAAAACTAGCAATCTATAAAGTGCATCAGGTCAACTTGAATAAAAACACTATGACAGCCAGGTTTGCCAGTTTGCAGAAACTATCTAACTCTCTCTGTCACATCAACATTTGTAAAATTGATGTGTTATAGTGGAAAATAACATACAGATTAAACAAGAAAATTTTTATCTTTTTTCAAGAATATAGCTGGCTATCTTTAAGAAAGATGATATATCCTAAATAGTTTTGCAAGTAATTTTCTTTTTTCTTTCTAGCATTTGATGTCTAAATAATTTTGGACATCTTTTTATTAGACTGTGTTTCTGTCTTACTCTTAAACCTGGTAACACTTGATTTGCCTTCTATAACCTATTTATTTCAAGTGTTCATATTTGAATTTCTTTGGGAAGAAAGTAAATCTGATGGCTCACTGATTTTTGAAAAGCCTGAATAAAATTGGAAAGGCCGGAAAGTTAGGAGAACTGACTAGCCAAACTGCTACAGTATGCAATTTCTATTACAATTGGTATTACGGGGGGAAAGTAAAATTATACTTTACCTGAAAGTGACTTCTTACAGCTAGTGCACTGTGCTCTTTCCACGTTCAGCAGCAGTTCTGTCAGTAGTGCCATTGAACCTCGGTATATTTATGATTTCTTTCAATGTTAAAAATAGACATAGTGTTGCCCTTTTTCTTAAAGCCTCAATGAAATTATGGAAAATTGCTTAAAACATGAATACATCATCACAGTAGAATGTATTATGAGAGCATGTAGTATGTATCTATAGCCCTAACACACGGGATGAACGTTTTACTGCTACCCCCAGATTTGTGTTGAACGAAAACATTGTGGATTGGAAAGGAGAATTCAGCAATTAACAGTTGAAGTTGTGAGATTAATGTTTTAAAAGCTTTACACCTGTTTACAATTTGGAGACAAAAAGGCAGGCTTCATTTTTCATATGTTTGATGAAAACTGGCTTAAGATATTTGTAAATAGAATCAAGAGCAAAACTGCACAAACTTGCACATTGGAAAGTGCAACAACTTCCCATGATTGCAGTAAAAATACTTACTATTCTAAAAAAATGAGAATTGAAGACTTAGCCAGGCAGATAAGTTTTTTCATGAACCCGTTGTGGAAATTATTGGAATTAACTGAGCCAAAGTGATTACGCATTCTTCATCTATTTTAGTTAGCACTTTGTACCGTTATATACAGTTTACAATACATGCATAACTTGTAGCTATAAACATTTTGTGCCATTAAAGCTCTCACAAAACTTTCCCTGTCAGTATATCATTTTTCTGTCGTATGTGTTGTCTGGGAGTTTCGGGCGATGAGGCCTCCTCGCCTGCACACAGCGTTCCAGTCATCTGGCTCCTCAGCAGTGGAGTTGCTGACGGTGCTCAGGGTGTGAACGGTGTTCTGTGGGGACGGTCACAGCAGTGTGAGCATTTGTGAGTGCCTCGGGACTGTGGCATTCAGAGCGTTTGCCTCCAGGTGGTGGCAGGAGGGTGCTCACGGGGGGAGTGCTCAGGATGTACAGGAGGGATGCGGAGTGTACCCTGATGGGAATGGCGGTGGGGACACCTGCGAAAGTGGATCCAGAAGGAACTGAAAGTTCCATGTGCCTAGAAAACAGGATGGATACAGAGAAAACTGAAAAATGTAGGTTAGTATTGAACCCAATTGAAATGTGTGTGCCCTCCCAGGGGTCACACTTCATCAGGGATACCTTTGGAGGTTTACTTCTTTTAAACAGGGAGGTGATTTAAGATGTATATTTTAGACAGTCAAGCCATCTGGTGAGAGTACCAGAGGAGATCAATCAGTTCTCTAGGTGAGGAGCTAGGGCCTGCCCTGGGCTGTCACCCTGGGGTTGGCAGTGGTGGGCCAGGATACGTATGAGAAACAAAGCAGAAGCAAACTGGTCAGAAGGTGACTTAGAGAGGAAGGCATGTGTATTCCTTTGTGTGTGTGTGTGGCCTGAAAACATGGGTTGATCCCATTAGTTAAAGGAGGACGGGAGAAGAAATGGGGTGGTAGGAGCAAAGAGGGAGGATTTCAGTTTTGAGTGCATTGAACATGAAATGTCTGAGGGACTTCTGATTGGACACTTATTAGATAGAACTATAACCCAGGAGAAGGGTCTGGAGTGGAAGTAAAACACAGACCCATGCATTATGTATTTATATGATGTTTAAAGATTGGACAATGGACAAGGAAGAAAGTTATTCAAATAACGGGAAAGCCCAACATTTGAAGGCAGAGCAGAAGAGAAGTTCGAGGTGAATGATATTGTTGGTATCACAGAACTCCCAAAGTAGGAGGTGACCATGTTTTGTGGTGAAGTAAGAGGAATCGAGAAGCTTTGGAATATGGCAGTTGGATCTGTGCTGATCTTTGCAAGAGCATTTTCTGTAGGAGTGAAAGAGGGATTCTGGATAAGATTGTGTCAGGTCAGTGAATGAATAGCAGGAAGTGTTGGCTTTTCTGAATAAACTTCATGATTAAGAAAACAAGGGGGGAGTGTCTGAGGAGGAGACAGAATTGTAGGATTGTTGGCTTAGGTTGGGAATAGAGAGGGGTCAATGTGCAGGCTAAGGAGAGAGAGCAGAGGCAAATATTAGAGTTGTGGAGGGAGCAGATCGATAATGGAATAGTGGGACCTACTCCCTCCCAGAGTGAGAGGAAGGAAATGTAATTAAGCACTCAGTGGGGAGTGAGCCTTGGAAAGGTGGAGTTTACACAACCCAGACATTGATGACAGGAAATGAAGATGTGAGAAGGGGTGAGGAGAGATCAGTTAGAAATGAAAAGTGAGGAAACCCGCGTCTGGTGGCTCCAGTTTCTCCATGTTTGAAGAGAAGGCAGAGGTCGATGATGAAGGAAGACAGAGTTGTTTCCCATCAGTATCTCCTTCTCTGCAAGGAAACGGGAACTAATGCTGAAATCCTCAAAGCCTTACAATGGCTTCTGCCTTCATTCCCCAGTGCAGCCAGAAGCACGAGGCAGGTGGACTGGGCTCTGCTGCTTCACAGCCTGGGCGACATGTTTTGAGCTTCAGCTGTCTCATGAGTCAAGCCAACGGGCTGCCCAAGGTGCTCTCTGTGGACCTTTTAATTCTACAGTTGCTGTTAGTAAATTATGGCTCAGGGTAAAAAGCAGGATTAGGAATGGGTGAATGATTGCTTGAGCCCAGGAATTTGAGACCAACCTGGGCAATATAGCAAGACCCCATCTCTACTAAAAATTAAAAATATTAACCAGGCATGGTAGCACACACCTGTAGTTCCAGCTATTTGGAAACTGATGGAGGGAGGATTGCTTGAGCCCAGGAGGTCAAGTCTGCAATGAGCTAGGATTGCACCACTGCGTTCCAGTCTGGGTGACAGAGCGACACCATGTCTAAAAAAAAAAAGGCAGGAGCCAGGTGCAATGGCTCATGCTTGTAATCCCAGCACTTTGGGAGGCCAACGCGGGAGGATTGCTTGAGCTCAGGAGTTCAAGACCAGCCTGGGCAACATGGCAAAACCCCATCTTTACAAAAAAATACAAAAAATTGGTTGGGCATGGTGGCATACAACTGTGGTCCTAGCTACTCAGGAGGCTGAGGTGGGAGGATTGCTTGAACCCAGGAGGTTGAGGCTGCAATGAGCTGTGATTGTGCCATTGCACTCCAGCCTGGGCAACAGCGAAATCCTGTCTCAAAAAAAAAAAAAATAGGTGAATGAGGAATAAACACTATGGACATTTTATAAATATTACTTTGGTAGTGGATCAAAAATGTAAATGGACCAAGATAATGGAACAGAATGCAGAGAAAAAAATGTAAATTCTGGGTTTAGGTGAGCTGAGATTCCACATCACGAAAGCTTGATCTTCAGGAAGCCAGTGGGCCGCGTTATTGATGTTTTTGCTTTTACGTATTTTAGCACTTGAATTATTTCTCGTACCACTGCTTCATGTGCAGTTCATAGTATTATGTGAAGTTCATAGTGTTACCACATTTATAAACTAATTGTAAAATGTAACGAAATCTTTAGAGGGGGAGGAAAGCGTTTGTAAAGATTACCACAGTCCTTTACTTCATCTATTACTATTTCTGACCTAGTGGTAAAAATACAAACTTTAAGGTCATGAAATTAGCCCATTTATAAATTCAAGTCAAGAGAAAATCAGTCTTGCCAAAGAGCTCATTTCTTCAGTTGGGACAACAGAGTCATCAGAAGTGAATGGACTATATAGCAAGTCCTATAAATAACTGAAATAACAGTCAAAGGGTTTTGAATAAGCAGTAATTGATTGTTCAGCTGCTGGTCAGTTCTTAGACTTTGAAATGCCAGTTTGAAGTTTGTCCCAATGAAATGGGCTCGGAAACTTGGTGTGAGAGAAGAGGGGCTACAAATCCTACCAGAAGTTATCTGGTTGCCGCTCAGGAAAAGATACACCTCCTCTGGGGCTTACCTCATTCTTCAAAATGCTCTGCAAAAACAAAAGCTCAATCTCAGTGAACCTGACCTCTACCCCACTTACACAATGTCCTGTCCGCTACTCCCACTCCTAGTAGAAGTAAGGAAAAATCATGGACATACTTGGTAAGGAAAGAAACACAGTTTTTTTTTTTTTTTTTTTTTTTTTTTGAGACGGAGTCTCGCTCTGTCGCCCAGGCTGGAGTGCAGTGGCCGGATCTCAGCTCATTGCAAGCTCCTCCTCCCGGGTTCACGCCATTCTCCTGCCTCAGCCTCCCGAGTAGCTGGGACTACAGGCGCCTGCCACCACGCCCGGCTAGTTTTTTGTATTTTTAGTAGAGACGGGGTTTCACCGTATCAGCCAGGATGGTCTCGATCTCCTGACCTCGTGATCCGCCCGTCTCAGCCTCCCAAAGTGCTGGGATTACAGGCTTGAGCCACCGCACCCGGCCAGAAACACAGTTTTTAATAAAAGCTCCAAAAGTGATTGATGCACAGCCAAGACGCAGTTCACTGGTCCTCAGGTGTGGGAGAAATGATGCCCATGACTGTAGTCAACTCTGATCTCTCCTCAACTCCAGACCCATGTGTCCAGCTACCTGTTAGACATGGCCATTCAAACGTCCATGGGCATTTCAAACTGTGCGTCCAGAACTCCCTATCTCTTGCTTCCTCTTTTCTTCCGGTGCCCATCTTTTTATGGTGTCTGTGAATGGCGCAAGGGTGCCTTCAATTGCTCAAACCAGAAACTTGCCAATTACTCTTTTCCTTTCCTTCTACATCAGGTCAGTCACCATGACCTGTTAATTCCACCTTCAAAACACCACTGAGTGTCACCGACCTTTCCTACCTTGCACTACCTAATCCAGGCCCCAAAGCCCTTGATTGCCTCCTTCCCAGGGCTTCCTAGCTGAGTTCTGTGGCTCTGTACTTTTCTCTCAGCAGCCATAGTCATTGTCCTAAATTACAAATCTGATCATGGTGTCACTTGAAATCCTTACATGGTTCCCCGTTGTCTTGGGGACCAAGTTCAAGTTCCCATAGTGGCTGCCAGACCTGCTGATCTCCAGCTTCATTGGACCGTGGCTGACGTCGACTTCCAACCCACTGAAGTCAGCCTAACTTCATGTTCCTGTAACCCTGTTTCCCCTAAGTGCTGTTTTCCCTGCCAGGGATAGCCCTCCCCACCGCTTCATTTTTCAGGGCTCAGCTTGGCAGTCACTTCCTCTGAGAAAACTTCCTTGACATCTGCCACACATCCCTCCCCTACCTGGGCTCGGTGCCTATCCTCTGATCTCCCGGAACACCCGGCACTTCCCCCGTTGCGGCACCAGTCACCCTGAATGAGAATTGTCTTTGGCTCTTCTGTAGTTCCTCTAGATAAGTGCTGTGTCTTGCCCACTGTACCCCAGAATTGGCCCCAGACTTGTGACATAATGCATGCTAAAAATACCTATTGAAAATTAATGGCTGCACACAGTGGCTCACGACCGTAATCCCAGCACTTTGGGAGGCCGAGGCGGGAGGATTGCTTGAGGCCAGGAGTTTGAGACCAGCCTGGGCAACATGGTGAGACCCCATCTCTACAAAAGGTAAAAAAACTAGTCTCAGTGGCGCATGCCTGTAGTCCCAGGTACAGGAGGCTGAGGCAGGAGGATCACAGCCTGCCTGGGAAGTCAAAGGTGCAGTGAGCTATGGATTTCGGAGCATTTTGGATTTCAGATTTTCAGATTTGGGATGCTCAAATGGTAAGTATAATGCAAATATTTAAAAATTCAAAAAAAATTTTGAAATCCAAAGCACTTCGGGTC